GGTTCAGGGATTGCAGGTGCATTGGGGACCCCGAGGCCCTTTCAATTGAAGCATTTTTCTTGAATAGTTCAGGTGATAGTAATGCTCTGAGGAGGAAATGGACGATGAAGACTCCACGGAAGAAGAGAACGACCAGGATGAGGGAGCAATTGGAGGAGACGAAGACGACGAGGAGACCCTTTCATACACGCGCGCTGTTGCTGGATCGAGGGCGGCGACCGCGATGGAGCTCAACGTCGAGCTTACGCAGACGAATGTCGGTCTAGGAATGCCAATCGAAGTACGTGCCTTTCGCTTGATATCGTGACTGTGCGTGTACTCAAGACCCACAGGGGTGGGTGCGCGAGCATGAGGGGGACAAGATCGGGGGTGGTGCTGCGTGGAAGACGTATGTGACCAAACCCGCAGGCGCGTCGCGGCGAATGTCGGTCGTCGATACTGTCAGAGGTTTAGTACCTGCCATGCATTCCGTCTACGCGGAGCTCGTGGACAGCATGGAGGCACTTCTCAGACTTGATGCCAAATGGGTGAGCAGCTTCGCAGATACTGGATGGGTAATGAGCTGATGCATAGATAGGACATGGGGACGGGCGGACACTTGGATAGCAAAAAGCGCCCACGCCTGGCGTCCAGCATCACAACTAAGCGTGGGGGACCTCTCCAAGGGGACGTGCCGGCGGACTGGGGAGACAGGATGACGGAATGGTGGTTGGATCTGCAGCCAGTCGAGCGCGGCGTCGTTCAGAACGTCGCGGACCTACTCGAGCCAAGGGCGGACATGTCCTGGGGAACGCTTCACGCCACACGCGGTTACAAGGGCGCGTTTCTGCTTGTATGGTGCATGATGTACTGGGCAAAGAGCGGGTTGTCTATGGATGCTTGGACGACAGTCGCTGGTGACATGGCGCGCGTATTCGCGGTTTTGCTTACCTTGCGTGGTGAGGAAGAGGGCGGGGGTGGGGGCGACGAAGAGGATAGGGTTCGAAAGAAAGCCCGCGTAGATACGCCCGCTGAAGACGAAGGTGTGTGTCGTGCTCGAGACGTTGAGACCTCCAAGCTTACGGCGGCGCGCAGGGAATCGTCAGAGAGATCGAGGAACGAAGAAGCCGGGCCAGTTTGGATGGCGCTGAATACGGGAAACGGTTCACGCGGATGACAATATTCGAATCGAACGTAGTTGAAATGTCACGACTGTAGTTACATACGTAGAGTTTGTATGTATCTAATTCCTTTGACTCAGGTGGGTAACGGCAGAATACGGCCTTCAAGCGTAGCTACAAGGCCGTTCGACGTCATTATCTCGTGACACAAGAGTAAGATAGTACTGACCGGCTCCGGGGTAAGCGTGGTCGGCGAAGGCTAGTATGTCGGCGTGCGGCTTCGTCACGCGCGGACGAGCGATGACGAGTTTGGACTGAGTGCGAGGGATCATAAGGTCGAAGACGCGGAAGGTGGACCACGTTCGATCCCCGCCGTTCGCCGTGGTAAGGACCATGACGGGATCCGTCTGCTTGATCTCTACACATAGCAGAGTGTCCACGTACTGGCGGAAACGAAATTCCCGGCGAGCTGGACGGGCCTTGAATGTGAAGGACACCGGGGCCTTCTCGTTCTGCGAACAGTCAGTAGGGATCGTAAGGAGGGAGACGAAGAAGATGGCGGACATCGACGAAGTACCAGACATCGAGCCTGTCGTGAAGAACGGGAGTGGGAGCAGGGACGACGCGAATGATCTCGACACTTGGCGAGCGAGCGAGAGGCGCTCGGCGGATGATCTCGACACTCGGTGAGCGTGCGAGAGGCGCTCGGGCAGGAGGCGCTCGGGAGGAGGCATCCGAGGGAGGGGTGGCGTCTAAAGTGAGGTCAATCACGCCGCCACCGGCTGAGGCTTTGCGAGATTTCTAGAGGGGATGTCAGGCAAAGGATAGAGATAGGGCTTGGCGTGAATGCGCACGGCTTTCTTCTTGTTAGGCTTGTTCGTCTGCTGACGCGGTTTGTTCGCGAGACGCGTGCCGTCGGCGCGCAGCCCCTGCTCGCGGCGAAACTCACGTATTTCACCGCGCTCGGCTATGGTGAGCGACGCAGAGACTGGCATCCAGACGCGGCCTGGATTATCCGGGTTGCCCGGATGCGTATCTTTGCACTGGGGGGAATCGGGTATCAGTCAAGACCAAGGGTTCGGAGGATGAAGTAGACGCACGAAGACCAGGTGTCGACCGAGATTGTAGTCATCGACCTTGTACTGAAGCACAGGTCCGATGAGAGGATGATCATAGGGTCGGCAGATGGCACGGCAACGTTCGACAAGCTCGTCGTCAACCTCGCGAGCGAAGCTTTCGACCTTTTTGAAGAGCTTTTCCTGCCCAATCGTCCGGGACGACATGGCAGTTCGAGGGACGAGATAATCGTGTGCGGGAAGGGCTTTTGTAGGCCGCGGAGGTGCCGTGAACCGGATGCGGTAAGCGGGTAACTGGACGCGATCGACAAGCGGGAGAGTGCACGGCTATCTCGAAAGAGGAGTGTCGCTCGGGAGAGCGCGAAAGCGCGAGCGTTCAAGGCCATGATTTGACAGCATACAGGTGATGTATGCGTAGAGGTACATAACGAGACGAAAAGAGCGTACGTCGCTTGAGATGGATGAGAAGGCTTGGAGTCGGACGACAGGGCGGTAGAAAGGAACTGATGCCAATTTGCTTCCGTCGTGTGTTCGGGGGAGCGCGCTAACGATTGCCTTTCATTACGTCGGGGTAGCTAGTAGATACATATGCACAGTGACTCGATATAGTGGTAACGGGCATTATAGACAAGCCAGGGAGAAGGATGGTCGTGGTACAGTCGTAACAGCGCAAGAAGGATGCGCGCCGCGCTAAGAATGGCATGTGATCGCGCGGCGGCAAGGATCGGGAAGAATGTTCTTCAACTCGAGACCACCGAGACGGGTGCGCTCAAAGTTATACGCCGGGCCTGACGATAGGTACGCTATCTACGATGAGCGCGCATACGGTGTAGCTCAATATTGTGCAGGCCCAACGAGTGTGTGCACGTCTCTCAGTGTAGAGTGGGCGGCAGGTACTCGCAGTGTTGAAAAGCCGAGTTCACAGGCGCGCCAGACAGTTAGAGGGATTTGGTGTGGAACGTTGGCGCGTTGACAGCTGGACAAGGCGAGCCGAGCCGAGTGCGCGCGGGCGGTGGGTGTGGGCGGGCGGCGG